TTTTTTCCTTTGCCCCAGCATTGGCAACTCGGACTCACAGATGACAAACAAGAATGGCTAAGTACCCTAAATTCTAAAGAGAGTTGGATACTTCCTCCAAGACTTAACAAGAAGCAACAGAACTCAACTTACTACCATCGCCACCCCACGACTTCCAGGTTCAATCCTCTAGTCTTTAGAGAACTTTGGAGGGAAAAGGGGAATGCTATCACAGAAGCTGTTGGCCTTTTAGAAATAGCACTGTTTGTGGTAAGAGACTTTCCCCCTTTTACTTTTGAGACGGGGGCAGGACAGGGTGTTCTTTTCTCCCCAAAGTTAAGTGAGGGAGAGAATCAAGAAAATAAAGAGATCAAGAACCCTGCAAGAAGGGGAAACTGAGAAACAAGATACATAATAGTTAATATTGTGCTGGCCAAAAAGTTCGTTCGGGTTTTTCTGTAAGATGTTATGGAAAAGCCCGAATGAACTTTTTGGCCAATCGAATACAAAGGATTCTGAGTCTGACTGCTTGGGTTTACCACCCAATCCACCACTTACTATTTGTGAGACACTAGGCAAACCTTGGTCAAATCATTTAACCCCTATGTTTCAATTTCCCTCTCTATAAAATGGGGATAATAACAATACATATTTCATAGGACTGTTGTGAGGCTCAACATGTATTACTACATATAAAGAAGTTAAAACAGATCTTGGTATATGGTAAGTACTAAATACGTACCAGTGCTTAGTATTATCATCATAACAATTATCACCAACATTATGTTGGTCACTCCTTGTTGAGTTGCAGAAAATGCAAACCCAACTTGGGGCTATCAGCTGCAATGAAGTTTAAGGAAAACATTCCTGGGAGAGCTTCACATATCCCCTTGGGTTGCAGGCATGCAGAAACATAGAAACTGATATGGGCTCCTGCTATATGACCCTTATAAGGTATGAATGAAAATATCCAACAAATCTATATCAGTAATCAGAACAGTAGGATACTGGCATGAAAACAGACACATAGACCAATGGAACAGAATTGAGAACCCCAAAATAAATCCACACATATATGGTCAACTAATATTTGACAAGAGAGACAATAATACTCAGTGGAGAAAGGACAGTCTCTTCTGGATATTCACATGCAAAATAATGAAACTGGACCTCTACCTTACACCACTCACAAAAATTCATTTGAAATGGATTAAGGACCTAAACATAAGACCTGAAACCATAAAACTCTTAGAAGAAAACATATGGGAAAAAAACTCCTTGCAATTGGTCTTGACAATAATTTTTGGCTATGACACCAAAAGCACTAGCAAAAAAAGAAAAAAAATCAACAACTGGGACTACATCAAACTAAAAATGTTCTGCACAGCAAAATAAACAGTTAACAAAATGAAAGTGAAACTTATGGAATGGGAGGAAATATTCGTAAACCACATATCTGATAAAAGATTAATATATAAAATAAATAAGGAACTCATACAACTAAATAGCAAAAAAACCAAAATCTGATTTTAAAATGGGCAGAGGATTTGAATAGACATTTCTCCAAAGAAGGCATATAAATCACCAACAAGTACATGAAAAGGTGCTCAACATCACTAATCATCTGGGAAATGCAAATCAAAACCACAATGAGATATAACACCATACTTGTTGAAATGGCTTATCAAAAAGACAAAAGACAACAAGTACTGGTGAGGATGTGGAGAAAAGGGAACCCTGGTGTACTGTACGTGGGAATGTAAATTGATACAGTGGCTATGGAAAACAATATGAAGATTTTCAAATAATTAAAAATAGTACTCTACAACCCAGTAAGCCCACTTCTGGGTATATATCCGAAGGAAACTGAATCACTATCTCAAAGAGATATCTATATACCCATGTTCATTGCAGCATTATTCACAATAGCCAAGACGTGGAAATAACCTAAGTGTCCACACACAGACAAATAGATAAAGAAAATGTGATATATGTATTAAACTTACACATCATTATATGCCAATTATTTCTCAATAAAGCCAAAAGGAAGAAAAAGAATATATCCAAAGTTTTTCTGACTTGGGGGGGGAGGCAAAGGACACTTGGGAAAAGTGTTAGCTTTATTTGTAATAGCCCAAAACTGGAAGCAACCTAAATGTCTATTTAAAAAACTGGATAGGGCTTCCCTGGTGGCGCAGTGATTGAGAGTCCGCCTGCCGATGCAGGGGACATGGGTTCATGCCCCGGTCTGGGAGGACCCCACATGCTGCGGAGCGGCTAGGCCCGTGAGCCATGGCCACTGAGCCTGCGCATCCGCAGCCTGTGCTCCGCAAGGGGAGAGGCCACAACAGTGAGAGGCCCGTGTACCGCAAAAAAAAAAAAAAAAAAAAAAAAAAAACTGGATAAACAAATTGTGGCATATCCATTACTCAGCAATAAAAGTGAATGAACTGTTGCTATACACAACAACGTGGATGAATCTCAAAATAATTGTTCTGTGTGAAAGTAGCCAGAAAAAATATCAAAAAGAGTACATACTGTATGATCCCATATATTTTGTATATATAAAATATTTAAATATATTATAAAATATATAATCATATATTTTTAAATATTCTTTTAAAATATATTTTAATGTATGATTATATTTATATTAAATTTTATATTGTTACATATAAAATACATAATGTTTTAATATAAATAATTCTAGAAAATGCAAACAAATCTATAGTGATAGAAAGCAGATCACAGTGATTGCCTGGGAAGCTAGGGACAGGGACAAAAGGGAGGGAGAGTAGCATTACAAGGGTGCATGAGAAAACTCTTAGGGAGGATGGATATGTTCACTATCTTGACGTAGTTATGAATTCAGGAGTGCACATATAAGTCAAAATTTATCATATTGTATGGTTAAATATGTACAGTTCATTGTATACCAATTATGTCTCAATAAAGCTGTTAAAAACATTCACAACTTCAGAATTCATTTTTTAAGCATAATGTTAGGTTTTCCTTGAATGTCCTTTACCAAGTTGAGGAAGTTCCCTTCTGTTCCCAGTTTGCTGAGAGTTTTTTTTTTTAATCAGTAATGGATATTGTATTTTTTCAAATGCTTTTTCTCTGTCTACTGGATGACCATATGATTTTCCTTTTTTACTTTGTTAATATGGTAAATTACATTGATTTTAAACGTTAAACTAACCTTGCATTCCTGGGATAAACCCCACTTAATCATGATGTAATATCCTTCTTATAAATTGATAGATTCAACTTACTAAAATTTTGCTTAGAATTTCTCCTTATATGTTCATAATGGATATTGGTTTGAAATGTTCTTTTCTTGTAATGTCTTTGCCTGGTTTTATCAGGATAATGCAGGCCCAATAGACTAAGTTTAGAAGTATGTCCTCCTCCCCAATTTTCTGGAAGAGTGTAGAATTAGTATTATTTTTTTCTTTAAATGTTCAGCAGATTTCACCCAGTGAAGCCATGGCCTAGAAATTCTTTCAAGGAAGCAGGCTGGGGCAATTGCAGAGACCTCCTCATCTGTTTTCTGTTTCTCAGAGATCACTGTCCTTTGTTGCCTAATGTACAATGTCTTAAAAATCATTATTTCATAGATTTTGTCAGTTGTTCCAGGCAGGAGGGTAAATCTGGTCTCTATCATTCCATCTTGTTTGAATTAGATGCCAGAGGCTTGAAATTAACAAAAAGCAACACTACAACATTTTTCAATAAATACTACTTAAGATTACAGTGTCTCTTTTTTGGCAGCTATGTTACACTATTGGCTTCTATTTGGCTTCTGTCAGTTATACAGTCAACTAAACTTCTCTTTTAAAAAATAAGTGTTTCCATAAAGTATGAGATAAAAGTTTTTAGACTGAACTAGAGGGTTTTTTTAATAGACTACTTTTTACAACAGTTTCACAGGTTCACAGCAAATAAACTAGACATTTAATAATGGAAAATTACCAAAATTATTGAATCTTTTTAAAACCTTGTCAAGGTAAGGCAGAGAAAAATTTAATTACGGTAATTGGAAGCAATGATTGGGAGGGGAAAATGGTCTCATGTTTAGTACTCATTAAACTATTTTCTGCTCTAAACTCTTCTCTACATCCAGTCTTACCCCCATAACTCATTGTCCACTCAGCAGTGATCTTTTAAAAAGGTAAATGAGATCATATCTGACTTAAAACCCTCTACTGGCTTCTTATTACACTTAGAATAAATTCAAACTCATTATCTTGCTTGATTTCCCACAACTCTCCCTTTCATTCATCATTCTCCAGCTACTTCTGTGCAGGGCCTTTGTACTTTACAGTCCCTCTGCATGAAACACTTTCCATATCCTTGCATGGCTGGCCCCCCATCACCACTGAAGTCTCAAGTCAAATGTCATTGCCTCAGAGACAATTTCTCTGATTGCTAATCATCCTACCAGTCACTGTCATGTTACTCTATTTTATTTTCCTCATAGTATTTTTCATTGCTCAAATATCTTATTTTGTTTACTTAGTATCTGTCTCCTCCTCATTAGAATAAAAGCTCCTTGAGAATTGCATTGTCTTGTTGCTCACTTCTGTTTCCAAGAACGAAGCACAGGACTGCGTAAAATATATTACTGAATAAAGGATGAATGGAGAACATCTTCACAAGGCACTGAAAACTGCGTCTAATTTTAAGTCCTCTAATACTATTAATCTCTTTTTTGGACAGGCTCCATAGTGTCAATGTCACTTTTTAAAGTGTAATGTCCAGATATGCATACAACTGTCCAAGTGTTATTTGACCAAGTACAAAACACAGCAGGAA